ATGTTCTGTTTGTTAATTCATTTACAATTATATTTTTAAGTCGTGATAAACGGTGGATGATAGCAGTGATAATTTTTACATATATATATATATATGTCTGTAAAATATGTACCAGTGTAATGTATTTCTCATTATGGTTGAATGGTTTGTTTGTTGTTTTTTTAAAAAGAAAAAAAAGTACCGTACATAGTCGTATAGTCATGTTGTAACAAGGTGGTTACTGAGTATAAATGTACCATGTAACTACATTGTTTGTTCATTTATATATTTACTGTTATTTGAGTATAGACTATATATATATGCCATTGTTAGGAATATTATTACTTACTGGCCGTTGTCTAATTGAATAGTAAATTTAAGTAGTATTTAATGAGACTGGTGAAATCAAAGTCATTCTCCAGACGAAAAGAAAAACAAAGTAGATATTGTTACTTTATTCAATATATATTAGACAAATTTACTTACAATATGATAGGATATCATCTATATTTGTATCAAAACTGTATGGTACAACTGTAATCTTCATCTGCTCAACTCTCACTTTCTCTCTCTGCCTCACTCTTTCTCTATTCATTTACCATCCTTCCACTCCCCCTCTATATATTGCTTCATATCAACAACAAAAAAGTTAGCGACTAAATATTAGGAAAATACGGGTATTTCCGTTGTGTCTAGGCATTTTCTTTCTTTTTTTTTCTTACGCTTAAACACGAATTCTTTTTTTTTCGGTTTTTGTTTTACTTAATTAAATATTATCTAGTTAATTATTGTCTGAAATATTTTATCAACATGAAATGTACATGTTTTTTTTTCTTCTTGTAATAAAAGAATTATATATTCAATTGACAATTTGCTACTACTTATGCATTTCAGTAATTCCGCTTGTAGCTCATCTAAAGTTATTGCCGATTCAAAGCCTGGGTACAGAGGGAGGGTTAGGCATGGGATTAGCGATCCCATCCCGTAGAAAAGTAACTTGCTAAGAAACGAAATGCGCCAATCAGAAAAAAAAACTGGTGAACGCTTTATGCTCCTCCACGAGAAGTAACAGACATAAGTATGAATTTCAGTAGTATATATTATGTACAAAGATTCTTATTTAAATATAATTTAGGTTCCAGACTTCAATTTTTTTATGCTCTATTGTTATAAAAAGATTTATGAAAATTGTTAAATTTCTTATTTTCTATAGTAAACTGATCTTATTCAGGAAACTGTTGAAAATCATGAAACATTAGACAGTTATTTCATTCTACTATTAGATTCTTTAGCAATGAAGCTTTATGATTATACCTAGGGATTAGATTTATAAGCTTCAGTTCATATTACATGCATTTAGTATTTGAATTATAGAGTTACCTTCCAATTGTTTATATGGATTAAATTTACAAAATGTAATCTATTGGATATCTGTTTAATCCTTTCAATGCTTCTTAAAATTCACTGGTTTTCTAACGAAGATAAATGTGTACCAGAAATTATTAATTTAATAGTTGAAATCATGAGTCAGTTGAAGTTAGACCGTCTTGGAAGACCTAGAAGCATTGGATGGCCATTTCGTTTTATTATGAAACTCCTCAGCAGTGCGTATCCATAATCCCGCCCCGTGGGATTCGAACCCAGGACCTATCGGTCTCGCGATCGAATGCGAGTTAAAAGTCGATATGTTTTTTTCTAATTTCAATAATTCAATGTATTTAGTTTAAAATAAATGATTAGACAATTATTATCAGCCATTTAACCTTAAGGTCAATCAATGTATGTATTGTATTATTAGTCATGTAAATATGTTTATCATTAGTGATAGAATAGTAGTTAACATCTTGGTCAATTTACACTAATGTATTTCTTTATATTATGATTGTAATATTTATAATTTGAATAGTTTTTTTAATAAAATTACATAAAGGTGTTTCAGTTTTCATTGTATCTACCTAAATCTATGAAATTAGGTAATGTCATATACACTTTTAATTTCAAAAGAATATAGATATCTCAAATAAGTTAAGTCTTATGATTTCTTGTAACTTGTATTGAAGATTGTGATTAATCAATTTCTTGAGTTTGCGCGTAAAACTGAAGGCCCTGGGTTCGAATCCCGCGAGTAGGATCGTGGATGCGCACTGCTGAGGAGTTCCACAATAGGACGAAACGGCCGTTCAGTGCTGCCAGGTTTCTAACGGTGGTCTGACATCAAACGGTACATGATCTTAATCAAAATTTCATTTGATTGTTTTTGAAGGACTCATTATTATGATGTATGTATATACTGGTATTAATATTTAAACGAATACCTTTATATCAAATGAACATGTTATTAGCTATTTGGATTCAGCAGTTCAGTTTGATAACAAGTTGAGCGTTTAAATTAAAAGGTATTGGATTTAAGTCACAATGTGGATATAGTAACAATGAGATGGGACAGATACATCGATTTAACAACTCTCAAATAAGATGAACTACATATCATGGATACTACTGTCAACCATATATCAAATACACTAGGTGTAGCCCAGACCTCAGCTTATTAATTTTATACTGACTGGCATTGTTTAGAATTCATAGTGAATATAATTTGTTACAAGATTCCATACATAAATCTTATTGACGAATGTAGCAAATATGAAACTTTATTTGAAGGATTATTCTTTTAACAAATCAGTTCGAAAACATTCACATCCAAAATAATTACATTCTGATCATTATATTCACTTGGTGTTATTTACTTGTATCTTCCCATTGTTATTTTGAACTGCATTTGATTAATCTCTTGTTGGCATATGTGCATGATGGTGTTGTTTACTTTTACAAGTAAACAACACCAAGTGAATCTAACTTCAACCCATTTCACAAACAGATGGCTATCAAGACTCAGTAGCTAAATGGATAACGTGATGGCGTTTGTAATCGGTTTGAGTCCCTGAGTGAACATCAACTCTAAGATGCAGGTACATCCAGATGACAACTCCCAAATAGGACGAAACGCGAGTCAAACTGGATTCTATTGCTAACCACTACTCATCTTTGCTTATTCTGATCATTAGTTACATCGTTTACTGGTTAGATTGTAACTTGATCAATATAATTCTGTCAGTAATATTGAACTAGATAAAGATTATATGAATTACTTACATTCTATTCAGTATCTATTTAATGTTATGAATATCAAATACTTTCATCATTTAGATTCATTTATCCTACTATAAATTGAAATAGTTACTCAAACAAGTGTGCAATCGATATATTTTATTTATTTATTTATTTATTTATTTATTTAAACACATGAACATTGGCACAAGGAGGCACCAAATACATATGTGCCACATATGTGAGGGCTGGGATACTGCCCGGGTGCCCAGACCGAAGCAGGTGGCTTTCTTAGGGGGCCACACCTCGAGCCTTTGACCTAAAGGTGTGACCAACAAGGCAATGGAGCATCGTGAGGAGATGCAATCCCATGGTAGACGGTGACCAACGATTGGTTCATACGCCATTTGTTCCTTCAGGATACTGGGGCCCATGTGCACCATTGGTTTAGGATCCGATCAAAGCGCCGGATATTCGTTTTTTGTCCGCTCAATTTTGTAAACAACACCCTCGCCACGAGAAGACAGTGAGTAGGACTTTCATGACAGAGGCTGTATACGCATGACCGTGTGAGAGCATTTTGAGCGGGAGGGCGGTTCCACCCCACTCCCAGCCATACCAGGGCATTTGGGGGCATATATATATATATATATATATATATATATATATATATATATATATATATATATATATCAATGAAATTATTTCAATATTGATACTGATTTTGGCAGTTTTTAACGAATCTAAGTAGCTGAAAGAGTATAATCAATTATTCCACTTGGTATATTATCACATATTTGAAACTTTTCTCACTATCGGATCAGTCATCTAGTCTAGTCAGTCAGTCAGTCAGCTATAACGTAGGACCAGGCACATATATTCATCGGTTCAAGTTGCAACCAGTCTAGTAAGTACACTTTGATACATCATGTATACACAATTGAATATTTTATCATTTCTTATTGATATTGTTTAATCCCTTATTCACTAATAGTTTAGTTAACAAACATTATTTAGATAAAAATGCATTAAAAAGGTTTAGGATCATTATGGTCAATATATTCTAACAAGTGATTAGTCGTAAAATCCAGGACGTCAGTCTAATCTTATAAAGAATTTGTCAGTTAAATATATCTACCATATTGTAATGTTATTGTTCCCATGTGAGACATGAACATACCATTCAAACGATATTTGTCAAGACAATATGTACTTAATGTATTCATGGCATTCGAAATTGATCGGTTTAATACTTGAATATCACCAAAATAACAATTTTATGAGACTCTAACATCGGTTTACATCTAAAGAATTTGACCAAAAATGTTATGGTTTAAACAAAATGACTAAGACACCTAGTCTTAAATGGAACAAAGGATTGTTTAATATTTAGTTCACTTAAAGACAATAGTTTCTCCAAACATATTCCTAGCATATGGTGAAACTACTAAATAAGTTTACTTGAAGTTAGATGTAGAGTGCATCACAGATTGACCTTAGCTAGAAAAATGTTTAAAACCAAGGAATACTAAGCAGCTTTTTCATTTCTTCAATGAGAAAATCAATTCATGATTGAAGTTATAAATGTAAGCCATTGGATGCCAACTCGTTACTTTAAACTTCAAGTGCTCATTGTGGGAATTAAAGGTTTTAGTTCCAATTTCAAATGAGGTCGACGATGTTCATTACTGAGTAGACTCATATTAAAACAAAACAGATATCTAAGTTTCCAATTGTTGTCTGATTAAGCTTACTTCGTGAGATAATCTAAAAAAAATTCAATCTGTCTTCTCTGACTGTTGTACTAAACCATATTAGAGGATTCTTCACTATCCATACTTCCATTTGATTTACTACTTAATGGGAACTGATAATTTTATAGTCAATAAATTCTTTCTGAGGTTCAACAATTGTTAATCCGTTTTAATGGTATTTTTTACGTAGTTATCATTCTTAGTAGTAGTAGTAGTAGTAGTAGTAGTAGTAGTAGTAGTAGTAGTAGTAGTAGTAGTAGTAGTAGTAGTAGTAGTAGTAGTAGTAGTAGTAGTAGTAGTAGTAGTAGTAGTAGTAGTAGTAGTAGTAGTAGTAGTAGTAGTAGTAGTAGTAGTAGTAGTAGTAGTAGTAGTAGTAGTAGTAGTAGTAGTAGTAGTAGTAGTAGTAGTAGTAGTAGTAGTAGTAGTAGTAGTAGTAGTAGTAGTAGTAGTAGTAGTAGTAGTAGTAGTAGTAGTAGTAGTAGTAGTAGTAGTAGTAGTAGTAGTAGTAGTAGTAGTAGTAGTAGTAGTAGTAGTAGTAGTAGTAGTAGTAGTAGTAGTAGTAGTAGTAGTAGTAGTAGTAGTAGTAGTAGTAGTAGTAGTAGTAGTAGTAGTAGTAGTAGTAGTAGTAGTAGTAGTAGTAGTAGTAGTAGTAGTAGTAGTAGTAGTAGTAGTAGTAATTATTGTTGTAGTAGTTGTATCAGTAGTGTAATATACACTGTTTTGTCCTATTCTAGAACTCGTCGATTGTAATCACTCCAATATTGTTCTTATCAGTTATTTTTTTGTTAGTGTCTCTTTAATACCATTATAGGATTGTTGAGAATGTTGAGTTTAAATTGATATCATGAATGGATCAATTCTAGACCAATATTGAAAACCTACAAGCACTGGACGGTCATTTCATCCTAATATGGGACTCTTCAACAGTGTTCATCCACCATCTCACACACATCAATCGAATGCAGGACCTTCAGTCTCACGTGCAAACGCTTAACCTTAAGACCAATGAGCTGTCATTTAATAGTGTTAATATCTAACTTCGACTTCTTTATTAACTAATAAATATAAGTTTACGAGAAATATATGCTATTAAGTAGCATATTCATTTGATTTATAACAGAAGAAGTAGTAGTAATATTCATCATAGATACAAAAAAGAGAACAGAATAGAAAGGGAAAGTGTCATACTAACATTATATAAGATATAGTTATATACATATATGTATAACAATTCATAGTATTATTCTTCATATGATAGAATGTCATACACTCGACAGTTATACGTTTACATATATATATGATCATATGATTTTCTCCATATATCTGTGAAGTTTATAAATGTATGATGAGTATTATATCACTTTTCTAATATAATCTTATTATAAGACATAGAAAAGTATGAAGCTATCATGATCCTTCTAGATCAACAACATCATTAGAACAAACTTTTTGTTCAAGTAAACGAGAAGATTTTCTCCATAATTGACTAGTAGGTTATTCTGTCGATAATAGAGTTACATACATAAGAGAAATCATTCTACTAATTTACAAATCTACATCACAATATCGAGATGTTGCTACTTCATGAGGTTAACGATGATATTCATTATGTATTGATTGATATTGACTAGAGAATTATTGAAGATTGAATAGAGCTGAACAGTTTTGTTGTTGTTGTTGTTTGAATTTGAAACTTTTTCATTAAGTATCCCAATCAACTGGAAGTTTTGTCGGTGAGAATCAGTAAATCAAAAGGGGTTCTGTGGAGTTTTTAGTAAGTTCAATAGTTGAGATCATGAGTCAATTGAAGCTAGACCACCATAGAAAACCTCTAAGCACTGGACGAACGTTTCGCCCTATTGTCGGACTCCTCAGCAGTGCGCATCCACGACCCTGCCTCACTGATGACAATGACTGACGTGTCTCTCAATTTCGTGGATTATTTGAAGTTAGATATTAACACCGCTGGATGCCGGCCGGCTCAGTGGTGTAGAGGTTAAGCTCTCGCGCGAGAGACTGATTGGTCCTGGGTTGGAATCTCGCGAGGCGGGATCTTGGGTGCGCACTGCTTAGATATCCCACAATAGGACGAAACGCCCTTCCATTGCTTCCAGGTTTTCCATGGTGGTCTAGCTTCAACTGACTCATGATCTCAACTACTGAAAGAGTCATCAAATCACAAAAGAATACCGAGTTATTTTTCCATAGTGATTTACATGTTTTGTTAATTTGTTGAAGGTTTGTCACCAAAAAAAGTTTGGAATGAAGGGAATTAAGACAATTCCATATTAAATGCATTAAAGTTGGAAAGTTAAACAATCGGATTCAAACCTGATGGTTCACAATATCAGTTATAACCTTTCTAAATCACTGACTAGCTTATTATATGGTAGAGAGAAATAGAAGGAGAGAGAGAAAGGACGAAGACAGTTGAAAATCCTTATCGTAAAAGCTAACGAATAAACACAAAAAATCATCCATTTACTTGTATGTAAATGATGCTAGACTAGTCCAGATAGGGGCACGTGAGAAGAAACCTCAACCAAATAAATAACTCACTCATGCACATGCACATGTTTAACTTCAATCCATCTATGATATCCCCCTGATCCTCGTTCATTACCTTCAGTGAATAACAATCTCACACTTAACATAACTGAAATTTACTGGTTACCACTTCTGACTAGAATCCCTGGATTGTCGAATGAAGATCGATTCACGATATCATGTAATAGCATTGTAAGCTAATACTATACATTTATACTGGCTCATCATTTAGCTGATTATAATTTTGATAAGGAAGTACTTATTTCTGAAGGTTCTTTAACTTTTAAAATATATTCATTATATTCTATCATTAAATGAGAGAAATTGAAATTATATACAAATAGGTACTACTTCAATAATCTAACTGGTTAAGTGATCTCTGAAGAAAACGTAAGTTACAGTTTCAATTCTTGATGAAGTCATATAGGTTCACCATAAATGAATTCTATCCTGGGATAACAAATTTATTTATTGTAGCCTAATCTTCATTTGTATCAGAAATGAAGTCAATTTGTAATAATATCAGATGGGTTTTCTGGATATTATAGTAATTTCAATGGTTAAGATCATAAGTCAGTTGAAGCTAGACTACCATAGAAAATGTGGAAGCACTGGACGGCCGTTTCGTCCTATTGAGGGACTCCTCAACAGTGCGCATCCACGACCCCGCCTCCTGCGAGATTCGAACCCAGGACCTACTGGTTCTTATTGATTATTTTGTTTGATGTGTATTACTTTTTGAGTAATAAACTAATTAATGAGAGATAAATTAATCCAATAAGTACTTTTATTGACATGTACGAGTACATCTAATGTATACTGTAGAACCAATCAACATCAGGAAAGCCACGTCAAGGTCATGGCGCACACATCAGTTTAGCTTGATATTCCTAAAACAAGATGATGGCTATCAACCGTATTATAAAGAATTTTAATAAGAGAATTATCATTAAATAGATAGAACTATATCATACAAATGACTTTGCAAAATTGAGAAAATGACGTTGTAAGTCTTGTCCCTTTATTGGCTATCCAGAATCAGGATAGACAATTTAGGATTTTAAGATATGATTACTGATTAAGATGTAAAATTCAGTTTTATGGTTTATGATATATCACTGGTTGAAATCATCAGTCAATTGAAGCTAGATCACTATGGAAAACCTGGAAGCACTAGACGGCCTTTTTGTCAAAGTATGGGACTCCTCAGCAGTGCGCATCCCCCCGTGAGATTCGAGCCCAGGATCATTAAACCATTAAACTTAACCTTATACAGTTTATCCTAATTGTAAATCATAACTCTAATCCTATACCTAAATTAAATATCCTGCATTTTACCCAGTATCTCAAACTGCAGTTTTAATATACTGGAAATTAAGTTTAAACTCTAACTCCGACCTATTACTGCTAAGAATCTAAAATAAACTTAGAAAATTTTATATTCTTATTAAACTCTTTGATTTTGAATTATGATTCACTTGTTCATAACTGTCAAAACAAGGGCTGTATTCATACAATTGAAGAACATATAAAACTCAAAACAAAAACCAAAGTCAGAATCTTCAATATCGACACTTATACACATACATATATAGTTGCATTTAATTACACCTAAACTTGCTCATAATTCATTTTACTCTAAAGTATCTAACTGATATAATTTCATTATTATTATTATTATTATTATTACTATTATACATAGTAATAGATATATACATACTTAAGGCGACATTTATCACAAGTAAATTATCTACTTCATTTATACAACAATTGACCATATTTACGTTTTAAAGTTTGACAAGTTCAACTTGAATTTGACGCCAGTTGAATAGAAAAAAAATGATAGAAAATAATAACAGTAACAATGAAAATTGAAAGGACAAAAAGCTTGGTGAAGAATTCCTAGGCGTCTTTCTTTTCCTTCCTCCTTTTTTTCTGTCTTATCCTTTTCTGTCATGGTTGAACTTGTCTTCTCTCTTTCCCTCCCTCTTATTCTTTAACCCTTTTCGATAACTCATCACGTATACACTTTACTATTTATTTCACCTAGATCATCGCGTTACAACATATATATATATTCCTGTGTTGTGCTCATTTCTCCCATATTGTCTCTATTTTAATTGCCGTATGGTTATCTGCTTTTAACGTTGTTGTATACACGTACACATATACACATGAGTGTATATGTATGTATATACATGTATATATATATATATGCTAACAAGGTGCGACAATATCTAAGTCATAATATACACATGTAGTGTGTGGTAGTGAATGGGAAAGGTGAATGACAATTTTGAAATTTGTGTCTCTTTTTTTAATGCTATACATTGACTGAAAGATATTGAGCATTGTATCAAATGTATGGATTTTGCCTTAACTAACAAAACTTAACTTTCATACAATTGAATATTTGGAATCCCCCCCCCAAAAAAAATGAGGGGAAAAAATTAGAATATTTACTGATAATGATAATAAAATTCAATTGTATAGTGAATTGGTGGTTAGTTTGAGAAAGCATTTTCATCAACTTAAAACTGAATAGAAAACAAAAACATGGGCTGGAACTTTTCCATGGGTTTGTACATGTGCATTTATATATGCATGTTTATATACATATACCTAGTGTTAAGCGTTGACAGCAATATCATTGTCAGTTTGTTAGGAAAAGGCGACAAGAATGAGTAGTGCATTCTGTGGTACTGGTGTTTAACCATTGTGATTATGAATGAATGAATGAATGAAATTTTAGGTAAATGTACTATTAAATTAAGAGGCATACCCTAAAACTGGTATTAACTTTCGTTTTGGCCGTTTTTTGAGTCATTATCCTTAAATCGATTTTTTTTGTTTATATATATATATATATATAGTAAAAATTAGTGGGATATAAATTTTTCAGGTGAAATCATACGCTCGCTAGTGATCTATTTCATAAAATAACTCTCTGAGTTCTAGCAAGAAGTCATTACTAGTAAGTAGGCTTTCACTATATTGAATGTGAGTCAGTTAACTAACGATTACATTAGAAGATGGTTGATTGATATTAAAAATTGATTAAACTTGAACATCTAGATCATTGGATGCCGACAGAATGGTTAAGGGCTTGTTAGGAGATTGAAGATCATGGCTTCAATTCCTGGTGGTATGGTCGTGGATATGTACTATCGAGGAGTTAAATACTAGGACAAAACAACTATTCAATGTTTTCTTGTTTTTAATGGTTAGTGAATAAAGATCCATCTGTGGTATTTATTGTAAAATTAGATTTGTTAAAAGAAAATATATTAAAAATTAACTATTAAGAATGAGACTGTACAATTTGGTCTATAGAACTCTGCATTAAAGGATAAATATTAACAACATGACTTTGATCAATACTTGACCATTAATTAATTATGAATATTTCGGTATTACAATAAGTCATTCATGGCTAGAATAGCTAATTGATAACACCTTAATCTGTGTAACTTAGTAAACATAGTTTGAATCTCACAGAAATGTATCAGTTCCCTCAAGATTGCAAGAATGCATTAATGTATAAATCCTATCTTATAGGTTGCATCCCGACTAACTCCAATCACTAACTAAGCTGAGGTTATACTAGAAAGTGATTGAATGAAACATTCGGTAAGTAAGTACTTGTCAAACTATAACTTACAATTAAATGTCCGTAACTTGTATTTAGTTCGAAGCAAATTCATCCAATATACTCAATA